GCGGAACACATGAGAACATCGTGGGCAACTCCAATATGTTTGGGAGCACACGCCTCACGCCGAGCGAGGCTCCTGCATGAAAGCTCGGCTCAAGACGTGTCCTTTGGGCGAGCCATATTCAGTCTTACAGCAAGTTCGCGTCATGACGACTCCAGCGTTGGCTTCTTATACCGCGTGGATCGTTCAATCTTCAACGACCGGCAGCTTGTCGATCGCTGGTCGTTCCATATTGGCCGGTTCTGTGCACTGGCGGCGTTGAACCTGGAACGCCCGCGGCAGGGTCGCCGCCGCGTCGACACAACGCGAACCTACCGTACCTTGAAGGTGGGAGCCTCACCCTGCGGCCATAATTAGATAGCTCGCGAGAGGCCACCTCCGCAGCTCGACTCGACGACCCCGGGGCTCCCTAGATCTCCGGCAAAATGATTTTTCAATCCGGGAATTGTTCCTCAATTTCGGCATCTGGGGCCAGTAATCGGACCCCTTGACCATCAGCAACGGATCTGGGACGAAAAACGATCCCCAGGGAAAGAGTCGGGAGCTCTTGGGCCGTGAACTGAAAAAATAGATCGGAGGACGTCTGGGTCTGCCAAAGAGGCACACGAAGTCGTAGGCGGATTTTGCTGTGGCCGCAGACGTAGTGCGCCATCTTCTAGCCATCCTGCCAACGGTCAGGGCAGTGCACCGTGCTGCCGCGGGCCCCTCACCGTCGTACACACTTGGCTTCTGGGCCGCAGTTCGACTCACAGGGGGCCAGTCGGGTTGGAGAGGTCTAACGGGAGGGGAGATAGAGAGAGAGAGAAGAGGAGGAGGAGGAGGAGGAGGAGGAGGAGGAGAAGGAGATCTGACACAGCGGGCGCCGCTGAGCTGATGGCGCATACAGACGCGGGTTCTCGGATGCGGCCCAGCTGGCCAGGCGCCCAGGCGCACTCGGCGCGCCAGCCGCGAGGACAGCGGCCACCTGCTGCGCAGGCCGCTCAGGCTGCGCATCACTGTGGCACAAGCTCGTCTTCGAAGAAGACGCGTCAGGAGGGCGATGAAAGCTGCAAGTCTATCGAATGGAGAAAGGGAGGGCACGCGACTGGGATAAGCAAGTCCAGTAACCTTCAAGTGAATCGTGCCTCCTGGTATCAACTCCATGGACACTCGCTGGTGATCAAACGAGACGAGCGAATGCTCGAACCCCAAAGAAGGCAGGCACACGTTCAACAACAGCGTCCAACCCAACTGTTAGGTTCCATGGCGCGGGGTGCTGATATGTTGCAACCGCGCAGCGAGCAAAAGTGTATCTGCACGTGCATGGCTGGAACCCAACCAGCCCGAGGGGGCGAACGGATGCTGAAGAAACGAGGGGACGGGCATAGGGGAAACCAAACGACACCGACTCCGAATTTCGACCAGGGGGGGTATCGCTGGACGCCCCGCCGAACTGCATATGAGCATAAGGCTTCCCGTGCCAGACGACTTGCGCGCCAGGAGGACGCAGGGCATGTTTTCAAAACGGGAGCCTCGACAGCATGGCAGGCCCACGGGGCGCCTGTCCTTCAAGGGGGCGCCCAGTCTGCAGCGGAGGAAGGAAGGCCGGCCAGAACTCGTGAGGGAACCTGGGACGGCAGGGTGCACTGCAGCCACATCGCTGGGGCAGCCTGGGCGTACTCTGGCGCACAGTGTCGTCGTCTTCCTGCTTCTCTTACCCTCATAATCCTCATCAGCATCAGCACCTGCGTCATCACCGTCGTCGTCGTCGTCGTCGTCGTCATCGTTCCTCCTCGTTTTCTCGTTTTCTCCGTCCCGCCGCTTGTCCCCCTCTGCTTCCCGATTCCCCTTCCTCCTCGTCGTCCTCGTCGTTCCCCTCCTATTCCCCCCAGTTGTGGCAGCTGGGTGTGTGCGTGCGCCCGTCGCCGCCGTCTGTCCGCGGCCTGATCCACGACGACAGCGTGGAGCAGCTCTGGCCTTCGATGGCACTGGCACTGGCAATACAGGATGTTGAGGTCGTAACCTATTCCCTCGGCTGTGGGAGAGCAAGTACAGCCATCGTCTTACCGGAAGGAACGCTGGATGAGGAACGAAGGTGTGTTTTTCTGGTCACGGCGAGACGCGGCCACACATAGATTTCCCGACCTAGATCCGAGGAACAGCCCAAAAACCTGGACCACATCCCGAGCCCAATGAGATCCTTATGTCAAAGTCTTGACTGTAGATGTTACCAAATGTGTACGCAGACTGTGCCTCATCTCCAGGAGAGCAAGCAGAACGCGGCGCGAGAAAAAAAATGCAAGAAGTGAGCTCGCCAACCCTATCCCCCCGTAACATCAATGCGCCTCGCTGGGTCAACCCTCACACCCCCAGACAGAAAGGTGAAAGAACCAATCGACGAGGCAGTTTTACGAGGAGACAAGGCATGTGTGCAGAGTGCCTCTGCCCACCCCAGGCATCCCACGTCGCGATTGTTGTCAAATCGTGGCTCCCTAGAGGTCTGGACTCTGGACCCCTTCCCTGGGACCAATTGTTCATCCTGGTTCGTTTGATTGACGGTCCCTGGGGTCGGCGAGGGCCCCATCAAGCCGAAAGTGACCAAAAACCTCTGGTCATGATTTCTGTCCTGGCGCGAGTATGTCACGGTCCTTCTCCTAGACGCAACTCTGCGGTCAGGTTCAATCCTAATCAACTGGAACTCGGAGGGGGGCCAAACACACCTCCGCGACCCCCATAGGGCTAGGGGCCGCCGCGCCGACGGGGCCTGAGAGAGGGAAGAAAAGAGAGGAAAGAATAGAGGACGAGATGAAGGGGCCTCCCCAGGTCTGAACCACAGGGTCATCCTCCTCCTCCTCCTCATCCTCCTCCTCCTCCTTCTCCCCATCCTCCCCTTCATCCTCCTCTTCCTCCTCCTTCTCCTCCTCCCCCTCCTCCCCCTTCTCCTCCACAATTACACAATATGAAAATACTCTCCCACTTCCCCTGATGGCGTCCCGAAGATATCCGACACCCCCCCGCGTATTGTTTTTTTACACACAGGATTCCCGGGAAACGGGTTTTCGCGTGTTTTTTTCAAAATGCTGCTCTCGCTGGGGCGCCAGCCTCATTTCTGCTCCCGAATCGTTCCGAATCGTGCTCCCGCTGCAGCGTGGGCCTCATTTTCGGATCGGTGTTTGGCCTCCGTCGTTCAGGATGGCGTTCTCGCCCCAGCGCGGGCCTCTTTCTCGCGCGCCCATCCGCCCGCCACCACCGCGCCGCACCACCACCACCACCACCACCACCACCCACCACCACACCAGCACCACCACACCACCACCAGCACCACCACCACCACCACCACACCACCCACCACCACCACACCACCACCACCACCACCACCACCACACCACCACCACACCACCACCACCACACAACCACGCACACACGCACGCACGCACGCACGCGCACCACCACCCACTACGCACGCGCGCGCGGAGCCACAGGTCCGCTACGACACGCGTCCGCGGATAGAGAAAATCAGCGCCATGGTAAGGGATGGGAGGGAGGGGTAGGACGTCAGATATGACGCGAGCGCACCTAGCTTGCCCTCCTCCCCCTCCTCCGCCTCCTCCTCCTCCTCATCGTCCTTCTCCTCCTCCCCCTCCTCCCCCTCCTCCACCCCCTCCTTCCCCTCCTCCGCCTCCTCCTCCTCCTCCTGATCGCGGTCGCGAGGACGAGCAGGACGGGCGGGCCGCCGTTGCGGCGCTCGGCTCCCCGAAGGGGGCCCCACCGGCCAGCTCCTCGGCCGGCGCGGGCGGGCAGGCGGCGCCGATGACAACAACGACAGCGGTGACGATGACGACGACGACGACGACGACGACGACGACGACGACGACGACGACGAAGGGAGGAGAAGGGAGGAGGGAGGGAGGGAGGGAGGGCCGAGAAGAGGGAGACGACGACGGCGACGACGACGACGACGACGACGGGACGACGGGAAGGGAGGAGGGGGGAGAGAGGGAGGGGAAAAGGGGAGAGGAGGAGGAGGAGGAGGAGGAGGAGGAGGAGGAGGAGGAGGAGGAGGAGGGAGGAGGAGGAGAGGAGGAGGAGAGGAGGAGGAGGAGGAGAGGGGGGAGGAGGAAGGACGAGGAGGAGGAGGAGGAGGAGGAGGAGGAGGAGGAGGAGGACGACGACGACGACGACGACGAGAAGAAGGACCAGTGTAAACCAAAGGCGCATCAACGATGACGCCATAAACGGCGACGACGACGACGACGGCGACGGCGACGGCGACGACGACGACGACGACGACGACGACGACGACGACGACGACAGCGAGGGGGGGTGAGGAGAAAGCGAGGGAGGGAGGGAGGGGAAAAGGGAGGAGAGGAAGAAAAGGAGGAGGAGGAAGAAAAGGAGGAGGAAGAGAAAAGGAGGAAGACGACGACGACGTGTTGGGCGACCAGCGTAAACCCGAGGCGCAACAACGATGTTGCAATAGACCCTCCCTTTTAGTTCTCTGATCACAGATCCCTGCAATAATTCAGTTTCAGTGCTGGAAGTGCCCCGTTGGAAGACAATCCTTGATCGGACATCATCAACAATGGGAACTCAAAGCCGCGAATCAACCTTACGGTTGCGTCACGACGAGGCTGCATCGCGCCGGAACACCTTTCCTGGGACTTCGACACCGCGAATCAGCATAACGGCTGCGCCCTCACAATCCTAAACCGCGACCACTTATGGGACATGAACCATAACACCCCGTTGAACTGATGTGACAGCTTAAGACGACTGCGCGCGGCGCGAAGGCGAGAACAACATTTTGAAAACCACCCGCCCTCCACCCGCGAAGCTCTTGCAAACTGTTGAGATGCGCGCGGCGCTAAGGCGAGAGCCTTATCTTGAAAACCACCCGCCCACCATCCATGAAAGTACTGCAATTGTTGCAAGCGGACAAGCGCTGCGCTCAGGCGAGGGCCTCTCGGGCTCTGCCGTCCCGCAATCAACAATGAAGTAGTGAGCAAGAGGAGGAGGAGGAGGAGGAGGAGGAGGAGGAGGAGGAGGAGGAGGAGGAAGAGGAGGACCAGTGCACACCCAGGATGCATCAACGATGCTGCAATAAACCCTCCCTCGAAGTTCCCTCTTCATAGTTCCCTACAAGAATGTATTCCCATAGCGGGAAATGCCCAATTGAAAAACAATTGCTGGAGAATCCTCAATCCTGCCAAAGCACCATTCCTTGGACTTTAACGCCTCGAATGGACGTGACTGATCCGCCCTAACAATCCTAACTCGTGCCAGAACACCGTTCCTGGGACTTCAACACCGCGAATCAACGTGAGTGCTGCGCCCTGACATTCCTGATTACGCCTGAACGCAATTCCTAGAACCTCAACCCTACGAACTCTTGAGGCGGTTGCAAACTTTTCAAAACGAATGTGCGCGGCTCTGGAGCGAAAGTCACATGATGAAAGGAGCCGCACTTCGTCCTTGGACTTGCTGCTGCGTGTTAAACCAAATGTGCCCGGCGCTGAAGCACATGCCACATATTGAAAACCACCCGCCCTCCATCATTGAAACCAATGCAAACTTTTAGGCCGAATGATTGCGGCGCAAAGGACGAAAACTAGCCGCCTCTCATCATTGAAACTGCTGCGAATTTCAAGCTTCAGGATCATGAATGGTGACGAACTCGGAGGTGAAACGCCCAGCCCGCCCTACCGATCCGTCCAGGGGTGCGACGGGGAGGACTTAATTATTCAGAGGGACAAAGGATGGAGGAGGAGGAGGAAGAGGAGAAGGAGGAGGAGGAGAAGGAGGAGGAAAAAGAGGAGGAGGAGGTAGGAGGAGGAGGAGGAAGATGGATGAGGAGGGGGAGGGAGGAGGGAGAGGAAGAGGAAGGGGAAGGGGGGAGGACAAGCTAGGTGCGCTCGCGTCATATCTGACATCCTACCCCTCCCTCCCATCCCTTACCATGGCGCAGATCCCCTCACTACTCGCACAGTCGGATGTCAAGCAGGGCGATGATCCCGAAAGGGTACGCGATGCATTGTAGAGCACGGCATGGCATGGCGTAGAAGAGCACCGCGAAGCGTAGTATCAACCTAGCATTGCATTGCATGCCGTGGCATGGCACGGGAAATGACGCCAGCGCTGCAGCGGGAGCACGAGTCGAAACGAGCGGAAGCGCGGAAATGAGGCCAGCGCTGCAGCGGGAGCACGATTCGGAACGAGCGGAAGCACGGAAATGAGGCCAGCGCTGCAGCGAGAGCACGATTCGGAACGAGCGGGGCCCGAAAATGAGGCCGGCGCCTCAGCGAGAGCAGCATTTGGGGAAAAATTGCAGGCAAAAGCCTAACTCCAGGGAAGGCTTCCCTGGCGCAAGAAAATTACTGGAATGGCTTTTTTTCGGCGCCGCCTCGGAACTCGATTTTCCGGCGCCGGCCGGAACCGGCTCCGGACCCGGCCCGGGCGCCGGCCCGAGCGCCGGCTCGGGCGTCGGCCTGGGCGCCGGCTCGGGCGCCGGCCTGGGCGTCGGAATCGGCCCGGGAGGCCTCCCGGCCGCCGGAAGCAGAAATTCAGCATTTTCAAAAGAAAAATGTGTATTAGAATGGCCTTTTTTCGGCGCCGCCTCGGAACTCGATTTTCCGGCGCCGGCCGGAACCGGCTCCGGACCCGGCCCGAGCGCCGGCCCGGGCGCCGGCTCGGGCGTGCAGCCCGGGCGCCGGCGGAAATGATGCCAGCACTGCAGCGGGAGCACGATTCGGAACGAGCGGGGCCCGAAAATGAGGCCGGCGCCTCAGCGAGAGCAGCATTTTGGGAAAAAATGAAAGCGAAAACCCAACTCCGGGGAAACCTGTGTGTAACAAAAACAGTATACGCGGGGGGGGGGGGGCGAATATTCCCAAGACGTCATCAGGGGAAGAGGGAGAGTAGTATTCATATTGAGTAAGTGTGGACGGGGAGGAGGAGAACGGGGAGGGCAAGGAGCATGAGATCCGACGTCGCGAGGAAAAACAAAGCATCGCGAAAAAACACGAACGGAACCCAAGACCCCATTTTGCTGCGGCATTCCTTGAGCCACATCGAGCTGTGATGGTCCCAAGACCCGAAAACCGGCGAGAAACCAGCGGTTGTGAAAAAAATCAAAGGAGGAGGAGGAGGAGGAAGAGGAGGACAAGGTCTCCGTCATTTCGTTCCCTCCCCCCCCCCAGGGGAAGCCGGGGGGGACATAGTTGCCCCACCCCCCTTTTCATTCACAAGTGCCCCAGTTTGATGGGGCCCCCCCCCCAGGGGGGGGGATATGGCACCGTCCGAGCACGGACACCGACGCCGACAGCGACAGCGACAGGAGGACGAGGGAGGAGACCGACGCCGATGGCCCCTCCTCCGGCAGGGGTGCGGCCGCCGCTCCTCCAGCGCGCCCAGCGCCGCCGCCGCGAGGCACGCGGCGCGCCGCCGCTCCGGCGGGACATCCCCGAGGGCGGCGCCAGCCGGCAGCGGCGCGGCCCCAGAAGCCAGCAGGCGGAGCGCCGCGGGGACCTCTCGGGGGCGGTGGCCTCTGCCTGAGACCCGGGCGCCGCCATTTCCCGAATAGCGCTTCGCGGGAGGGTTCTGACAGAGGGTAAAAGTAGAGAAGGAGCACGAGCCCTTGTGTAAGGAATGCACGGAAGACCACAGACTAGCCCCACAGGGGGGACGGGGAGCCCGACGCCGACCGCATCCTGAGATCGTTGGGTCCGGCACACGCTGCGCCTGAGACTTCCCTGCAATTTCTTCGGAAATCGTGCCCTCGGCCCAATGCCGGCTACATATTTGGTCCAGGCGGCCACGACCCCTTGCAAAAACACACACACACACAAACAAACAAGCAAGCAAGCAAACAAACAAACAAACAAACAGCCAGCCAGCCAGCCAGCCAGCCAGCCAGCCAGCCAGACAGACAGACAGACAGACAGACAGACAGACACACAGAACAAACAAACAAACAAACAAACAAACAAACAAACACACAAACAAACACACACACACACACAAGTACTTGTGCGTCGGCGGCTGGGCAGAAGGTGGCTGCTCCGGCGGAATGGCAACAGGGGACACGCTGCATGCAAATCAAAGCCGCAATGCACGGAGGAGGAGGAGGAGGAGGAGGAAGAGGAGGAGGAGCCCTGGCGCGACAGGAAGAGAGGAAGCCGGGCCACTCAGAGCTGCCGACTACGGCGGGGGAAGCGCCGAGGTGGGAGACCAGCGTTGGCACTGAGCTGCACTGAGCTGACGCTGGGGGGAGGCAGCACTATGCTGCAACTGGTGATGGAGAAATCCGGCGGCCCCCTTGTGGGGCCACCAGGCTGTAGGACTAGGGTTTGCTGTTCCCTGCACCAGTTCCAATTTCCAGCTTCCACTGTTACAATTCTGCTTTATGTTGTTTACTGCTCCTGTTGTAGACCGCGCGAGGGGGGGAGCCGAAAAGCACCCTGGTTAGCACCTCCTAGGAGGGTTCTCAGAATTTGACACCCCTCACGCAGATCGGCGGGGTCAGGGTCCAAAAACACACGGGATTTGCCACATTTCTGAAATTCGGCGGCACCCCTCACGCAGATCGGCGGGGTCAGGGTCGAAAAACCCAGACGATTTGCCCCATTTCTAAAATTCGGCGGCACCCCTCACACAGATCGGCGGGGTCAGAGTCCAAAAACCAATGAGATTCGCCCATTTCTAAAATTCAGTGGCACGCCTCACGCAGATCGCCGGCGCGCCATATTTCTAGAATTTGGCGGCGCCCCTCACGCAGATCGGCGGGGTCAGGGTCGAAAAACACATGGGATTCGCCACATGTCTTGAAATTCGGTGGCCTCCCTCACGCAGATCGGCGGGGTCAGAGTCCAAAAACACAAAGGATCTGCCACATGTTGTAAATTCGGTGGCACTCCTCATGCAGATCGGCGGGGTCAGGGTCGAAAAACACGTGGGATGTGCCACATGTCTTGAAATTCGGTGGCACCCCTCACGCCGATCAGTGGGGTCAGGGTCAGAAAAAAATACATGGGATCTGCTACATGTCTTGAAATTCGGTGGCACCCCTCACGCAGATCGGTGGGGTGTGTCAAAAACACATGGGATTTGCAACATGTCAATACTTCGTAGAACAGCTTGTTGCACAACATACGCGAGCAAGCCCGAAATGCAACACGGAATTCAACAATACCATCAGAATCTCAATTTTTCTTGCCGATTACTTATCGTCTTCGCGTGAAGTCCCGACGCTGCTTCAAGGCGGCGCCAAGGCCTCATGATTTCGCTCTTGCATTGCCCATTATCCGAGAGTTATCCGAGAGAGGAGGCTGGCGACAGGGGGCGAAGCCCTTACGGATACAACATAGCGGACCCCGATCCGGCAGGCGCAGCCAATGATGGGCCGAGCGCCGAAACAAGTGGGTCAACGGGGCGCGTGCAGGGGGAGGCCCAGGCAGCGGAGCGCCAGGGGGGGGCGCTAGCGCGCTGAGCTGCACTGAGCTGCACTGAGCTGCACAGAGCTGAGCGGGCAGCACAGAGCTGCATAGCAGAAGCTGGGGGAGCGCGCGACCCAGCTGACTGAGCGGCAAGAGAGAGGCAACGAGAGCGCCAGCACGGCCCGGCGAACCGCCAGGTGCGGCCCAGAGGGCAGCTAACGCACTGAGACCGAAGGGCCTCGAGGCATGAACTTAGCTGAGCAGGGCAGAAGCGAAGCGAAGAGAACTGCGGGCCTGCGAGGCGCATCCGCGGGGAACACACACACACACACAAGTTCACATGGCCGTGCTCTCACGATGCTTTGCCAGGGTAATATTTCAGACCTGTTTTTTTTCGGGTGCGTCCGAAATGGGGGCGTCCAAGAGGGGGGTTCGCAGATCATCGCCCGAGAAGCGAGCGCGGACGAGGGGGCACCAGGGGATGCACTAAAAGAATAGGTTTCGCCATGACATCCCTGGCCGAGGCGGGCAGGCGGAGCACTGGCCAGGACCTCTCGACGTCCTCTCAGCGGGCCAAGTGGAAGCAGCTGCGGTCCTCCCTGGCTCGGTTTCCCCGTTCCCTTTCGGACCTCAGGGGGTCACGCTGAATGGACAGACTTTGAGCGACTTGAGGCCGGGCGGGAGAGTCGCCGCTATCTGGCCATCCTCCGAAAACACTCACGCCGGTGCTGGCCAGGCCAGGGCTGGGCCCAGGATCGACATGCACGCGCGCCGTCCCGGCCAAGCCGAAAAACACCCTGATCTGGGGGCCGACTCTGAGCGGATCTGGGCCGGGCGGGGGAGCCGCCGTTGTCTCAACTGGCCCTCCTCCGATTGGCAGCCTTCGGGCCGGCCGTCGCGGACGTCATCGGTCGTGCTCGTCGTCGACGCGGCAGGGAACCCTATGAGTGGCAAGGCAGGCGGAGCACAGCAAGGGCTTCCAGGAGGCCTCCTTGTACTCACCCTCGCTCTCCTCTCCCTCCTCCCTCTGCTTTGCCTTTTTCTCCTCCCATGTCGCACCCCGAAGCAAGATTTTAGGGCGGGCCGGGCGTTTCGCCTGAGACTTCCTCACCACTTATGACTCTTATGATTCTGAAGCTTAAAAATCGCAACAGCTTCACAGATGGAGGGCGGGTGGTTTTCAATATGTGGTTCTTGCCTAAGAGCCGCGCACATTCGTTTTAAAGTTTGCAAGAGCTTCACGGATTGAGGGCGGGTAGTTTTCAAAACGTGACTCTCGCCTTAGCGCCGCGTGCATTCGTTTTGAAAGTTTGCAAGAGCTTCACGAATTGAGGGCGGGTCGTTTTCAAAATGTGGCTCTCGCCATAGCGCCGCGCACATTCGTTCTGAAAAGTTGCAAAGGTTTCACAGATTGAGGGCGGGTCGTTTTCAAAATGTGGCTCTCGCCTTAGCGCCGCGCACATTCGTTTCAACAAATGTGCGACAGCTTCACGGATTGAGGGCGGGTGGTTTTCAAAATGCGGCTCTCGCCTTAGCGCCGCGCACATGCGTTCACAAAAAATATAAAAACAGCTTCACGGATTGAGGGCGGGTCATTTTCAGAATGAGACTCTCGCTTTAGCGCCGCGCACATTCGTTATAAACAGTTGGAAGAATTTCACGGATTCCCATGATCAACGTACCAGAAATAGCATGTTGGAAAGATTCCGGATTATGCGGGTGCAACAGTTATGTTGGATCGCGGTGTCGAAGTTCCAAAGATGGCGTTTTGGCACGATTCAGGATCGTTGAGACGCAGCAGTCAGGTTGATCCGTGAAATCCCGAGAACAACGTTTTGTCTTCCAACGAAACAGTTCCCTCAGTGGAAATGAACCGTTCTAGGGGCCAATGAAGAGGAAGTTTGGAAGGAGGGTTACTTCCAACATCGTTGATGACTCCTTTACACTGGTCCTCCTCCTCCTCCTCCTCCTCCTCCTCCTCCTCCTCCTCCTCCTCCTCCTCCTCCTCTCCTCCTCCTCCTCCTCCTCTCCTCCTCCTCCTCCTACTCGTCACCTCCTCTCCTCCTCCTCCTCCTCCTCCTCCTCCTCCTCCTCCTCCTCTCCTCCTCCCTCCTCCTCCCTCCTCCCTCCTCCTCCTCTCTCCTCTCCTCCTCCTCTCCTCCTCCTCCTCCTCCTCCTCCTCCTCCTCCTCCTCCTCCTCCTCCTCCTCCTCCTCCTATCATCATCATCATCATCATCATCATCATCATCACATCATCATCATCATCATCCTCCTCCTCCTCCTCCTCCTCCTCCTCCTCCCTCCTCCTCCTCGTCCTCCTCCTCCTTTTCCTCATCCTCCTCGTCCTCCTCCTCCTCCTTTTCCTCCTCCTTTTCCTCCTGCTCCTTTTCAAGAGTGCAAGACTTCAGAACCAAAAAGGGTGGGTCACGCAGCAAAACCAAACGAGGCAAGGCGAAGCCTTCGCACCACAAACCATCATGGGAGCTCTGCTCCCAAAGGAAAGAGAGACCAGACCAGGCAGCAGCAGACAATGGGGCATTCCCCGAATCCTCCTCGAAGAGGGTCACCTATGTCACTGGTCTGGGTAAGCGGCGAGCGCAACAGGGGGAACCTGTCTCAGTGGCAAACGCAAGCCCTGGACCCGAGCCCCGAGCCCCCCCCCCCCAACAAAAAAAAACAAAAACAAAAAAAACGTCAGTCCGAGCCGGCCGAATCGACCATGGCACGGGCAGCTTGCAGAGGCGCACAGTCTTCACCCCCACGGAGGGCCTCGACTACCGTTCTGCTGAGTCTGTGGGCTGACACTCGCGTGGTATCGCCGCAGCAGGGGGCAAAGTGCTCGTTTGGCTCTACAGGTCAGGTCTGTGGGTGGCTCAAATTGGCGGGCCATCTTCATCTGAGCACATTCGGGCAGATTTCCCTTGCCCAGCAACCCATCCTACCGTGAAATCCAGGAGGAAACCGGGGCCCCTACCTGAGAGCCGCGTCAGGGACAATACCCCTCAAAAGCCTAGAACGTTCACTCGACTTCTTCGGGCGCCTACACGGTTCCCGCAATCCTTCGGCCTTGCGGGCGGCGCACTTGCCGCACA